GTCGGGCCGTTTTGGATCCGAAACAGGTTTTCAGGCCCCGGCCGGGCTCGCCCATCGCCGCGCATCGCGATACTAAAGCGTCAAAAAGGGCGCCTCTGCCTGCAGCAGCAGCCCGGAGAGGTGCGAGAGAGACAGAGCGAAGGGGTCCGACTTCAGCCTGCAGTGAGCCTCGCGCAGTGCAGGCGCGTAGGTTGGGTGGCCTACCCACAGAACGACAGGCGCTCAAGTCCAGTGTTGCACAGTGGGCCAGAAGACCGGTGGAGGCGGCCAAAACTCTAGACGCGTTTTGAGCTCCAGAGTCGCCAAATGGGACTCGAACCGAACGTGTGACCCCACCAATGGATTGCTCTCCGAACGACGAATCCATTGGTGGGGTCGCACGTTCGGTTCGAGTCCCATTTCGAGACTCTGCATCCTGGACTCTCCAAGAGACGTGCTTCCTCTCTGCTGCAGCCATTTGGCCATCGTGGGAAGGGCCAACCAAGAGGACCGAACCAGCATCATCCAACAGACGGACCATTCCGGTAAGGTTCTTGTGTGCAAAGTCCCTCTTCACGTGAGAAAGTAACACCTTTCAGCCGAGCGGGTTGCGAGTCGCAATTGATGGCAATGACTGCAAGTCAAACAGCACGGCGCAGCGCCGCGCAAGGCGAAGGCGCCGCCACACTGTTTACAGTTAAAGGTAATGATGATGAAGAGATGAGCGGCCGGGGAGGGGGAAGGAGGAAGCAGGACGGAGGGAGAAGTGTGGAACGAAGGATTAGAAGGAGAGGGAGGGAGAGGCGGGCGCACGATGGCGAGCGTGGGCCCACAGCCACGGCACTGCCACGGCCCAAGGTGTGGATATATCAGATGGAGGTGGGGGCACGAAGCGGCAGCGAGGAAAAAAATAACAAGAAAAGCTCTCGAGATGGCGTGTCTAAACATTTATCTTGTTATAATTCAAGTTTAATTCGAGGCTGTCTCTACACGGCATGGTTAGTTAAACGTGGCGAACAGGGCCTGTCATGTCTCCCTCTCCTTCACTCTCTCTGTCTCTCTCTCTCTCTCTCTCCCTCTCTCTCCGTCTCTCCCCACCCTTCCGGCCTTATTCACTTCTCTCCCTTCTCCTCTCTCTCCTAACTACCCAATTAAATCGAAATCACGTTGTAGCGTTTAACAGGCATCGCACACACGCGTCCTTCCGCGCACGGTGGGCGGGGGCAGGGCAGAGGTGGCGCGACCTTTCATGCCACGTCACATTCATTCATTCATTCATTCATTCATTCATTCATTCATTCATTCATTCATTCATTCATTCATTCATTCATTCATTCATTCATTCATTCATTCATTCATTCATTCATTCATTCGTTCATTCATTCATTCATTCATTCGTTCGTTCGTTCATTCATTCATTCGTTCATTCATTCATTCATTCATTCATTCATTCATTCATTCATTCATTCATTCAAAAATAGTTCTGCATATGATGACATAGACTTCAGGATTGATGCATTCATGCATTCTTGTATTCATTCATTTGCGTCTTTCTTCCTCCCCAGAGACCTCGACGCACGTGGCGTGGATCTCCGGCGGTCCTCTCCGGCCCTTTCGCAGCCGTTTTGTTCGGCCCCTCCACGACACTGGAACAACCCACTTGGTTTGCACCCCTCGTGCCTAGTCACACCGCGGTCAGTCCGTCTCTGTCGCACCGCGTTAAGAACGCGTCCGACCTGCCGCCTCTGTCTCTCTCGCACTCATGGGACGTCCCCCACAGGTGCGAGAGAGACAGAGCGACGACTCTGCATCCGCTCTAGTGCCCGGCCGCGTTGCTCGGCGGAGCGAGAGCGTTCCTCCGTCTCCCTCGCACCCTCGCGGAGAGCCCAGCGAGTGCGACAGGGACGGCGAGAATCGGCCAATTAACACGTCAGTCAGCGAGCAGGGATTTCTCGTTAGGCGAGGTCGACGCCTCGGACCCGTGGACGGTCCGGGGACGGTCCGTGGACCGCTAAACAGCCTCTCTAAATTAATAAGACGACCAATGAGGCATAAACGCCACGGGGGCGGGGGAGGACACTGTGTGTGTGTGAAGCGAAAGCATAGAAAGAGGAAGAGGGAGAAAGAGAGAGGCGTGGACCTTGTCTAATTGACGCCACTGGCAATACACCCTAAACTAATATTGGAAAATAAATCGTAATAAGTACACGGTGTTCGAGAGAGAGAGAGAGAGAGAGAGAGAGAGAGAGAGAGAGAGAGAGAGAGAGAGAGAGAGAGCGAGGGGGAGGGAGAGGGAGTGGGAGAGAGAGAAGGAGAGAGAGAGAGAGAGAGAGAGAGAGAGAGAGAGAGAGAGAGGCGAGGGCGGGTCGTTAGTCGGTATGCACGTCGATAAATAATAAAGGCATTACCTTTCGCTAAACAAAGTTGGTAGTTACGACGAGGCGAAACGAGTGAGAAAAACGAGTAGAAATCGTGCTAAATCGTTGATACAACACCACCGCCACCAGCCCGGCCGCGGCCCGGCTCGTAAAGAGGCTGCCCACTGCCAGTACTCATGCAGTGCTGCTGTTTTGTTTTTGTTTTTCTGCATGTTTTGTTTTTGTTTTTCTGCATGCTGCCCCGAGGCGGGGTTTTCGAAGCGTTCTGCGGTGCGGTTCTTTCGACCCGCACTCGCACTGTGGATGGCAAACAAAAAAAACAGCAAAAATCGAGATAAAAGTTCGGAGAAAGATCTCTTTCGAAGGCATTTTACTTCTTCACGAACGTCAAGTGTGATTGCCGTACAAAGTGCACGAGCCCCTGCAGTGTAGGCAACCCCGATGAAGTGGCGCGCCGCTGTGGACCGGGCTGCCTACCCTGCGAATGGCAGGGGCTACGGCTAGGCTAGCCAACCTCGGTGACCAAATAGAGTGCTGCGGTCAAACTGGGCGGTGAAAAAGAAACCGAATTCTGCAGCCTCCTTGTTGTTTTTTTTTGCTCCCTGGTTTCTTGCTGTTGGCAGGCGTGCCCTGAGTAGCGCCAGGCTCCGGGCCGGTTCACCACGCCACGCCACGCCCCCCTGTTCCTGACGCCCTCGCTCTTTATACTAATTAAAAGGCTAATCCAACGCCCCCATCGCTCCAAAGCGATGCGAAGCGATGACATGCCGTGATCATTATCTGTGGGTCTCGCTCCGCCCCACCGCCACGCCCCACCCCGCCTCGCCCCACCCCACCCCGCCCCGCCACGCCCCGCCACGCCCCGCCACGCCCCTTCAATCTCCAGCCAATGCCGGACTTGATCTGGCATTTGAAACCTCGGCATGATCCCCTTAAACTGGTGCTCCCGGTGTGTGCGCACGGTGCGAACGGTGCGAACCTCCCACCTGCTGGCCGTTTACACGCACGTCCCGCCACACCGTTTCCACGATTAAATTGTCCGCAGCCACAAGCACTGTTGGCACGAATACTCCAAATGTGGAAATTACAATTCAGGAGTGCTGGTACCCTAGTAGTCTTCAGATCGCTAAGATGTAAAAACAACATGCAATTTCCCCCACCCATTTTCCCGCCTACCCGACAACATTAGATTGAAAACGTGCTCGGCGACATTTCCTCTCTCTCTCTCTCTCTCTCTCTCTCTCTCTCTCTCTCTCTCTCTCTCTCTCTCTCTCTCTCTCTCTCTCGCTCTCTCTCTCTCCATCTCAGTGTCCTCGCGGTCTTCATCAGCGCGATGTTGATGACTCAATTATGAGCTCATTCGACCGTCGGGGAGAAGCACTTCCGGCCGCTCTCTCAGAAGCAAATTGGACTGGAAAATGACGAAAAGGATAAAAGCAAAACCAGAGGGCGGCCCTGACTAAACCCATTTGCAATTAAAAAAGAAACACTTGACCCCCCCCCCTTTTTATGTGGACACTTTTTCGACCCTCCATCGACATTCACCGTCCACTTTCGCCACGGGCATCGATAAAGAGAGAGAGAGAGAGAGAGAGAGAGAGAGAGAGAGAGAGAGAGAGAGAGAGAGAGAGATATGCGAGGGGAGAGACGGGGAGCGTGGCGCCAAGAGCTTGTCGGAGAGGGATTCCGCACATCCGCCATTTTTCAGTAGATTGAAGAATAACATTGACAAAGCTTTTGATGGCGGGCTTGCACAGCGATATGGCGGTATTGCGTCCCGCCTCCACCCATCAGGCTCCAGCGCCTCCAGCGCCTCCAGCCCAGCAACAACAATAACAACTCAACAAAACAACAACAGGGCGGTGGATGGTAAACGCCGGGGCGTCTCCCCGGAGCACTGCGGAGCACCCTGGAGAGGCTTGGGATATGGCCACTCCAGCCACTCCAGCGGCCGCCGCCACCCAGTGGGCCAGAGGACCGGTGGAGGCGGCCAAAACTCTAGACGCGTTTTGAGCTCCAGAGTCGCTAAATGGGACTCGAACCGAACGTGTGACCCCACCAATGGATTTCTCTCCGAACGAGGAATCCATAGGTGGGGTCACACGTCCGGTTCGACTCCCATTTAGCGACTCTGGAGCTCAAAACGCGTCTAGAATTTTGGCCGCCTGCATCGGTCTTCTGGGCCACTGTGCGCCGTGGCGCCTCCGTGGCGAGGAGGGGAGACGCCCTGGAGCGGAGAATGGATCCAAAAACCCACCTGTCAAAAGTAAAGGATTGCCCAGGGAGAAGGGAGTGACCAGTGCAGGACCTGAGGGACCTGGGAATTCCCTGGGAGCATTCCGTCTCTCTCTACGTGTCAGACTGCTGCTGTTTGAAGTTTGGTGTACGATATGACTCGAAGCAAATTTGGGCAGGTCAGGCCAGGACCAACCTCATCCTTCAACTCGTCGTCCCCTTCCCTCTGGATCTGTTTAGGCTGCCGCTCCAGGCCCTGGCGGCTACTGGCGGCGGGTTCCAGTTCCGGCTGCAGAACTTCTCATACTGAGTGCCAGTGTGCCAGAGCGGCGACGCAGTTGCGCCGTTCGCCGCGAGATGGCGATGGCGGCGCGACTGGTGCGACCTGCGCACAGTGCGCATTTCGCTATACGCAGTGGGGACAGTTGTTTTCTGCGAAGACAACAACAATCAAAATCAAACAACGAGGACGGATTGAGGAAACAAAGGTCTCGCTGATTGCGTCCGAGTTTTAAAGCTTGAGAGTGTAAAATGACGAATTCCCCCAAGTCGTACAAGGAAAAGAAAACGTTCGGTGAGTTGTTAAACTTCGATTTGGATGGGTAAATGGGTCGTCTCGAAAATGTAGCCTGGAAAAGTTGTGGTTGTTGTGCTAAGCAGATTATTTGATAATGCGTCATGGACATTTCTTATCATTGTCAGTCTCTGATTTGCGTCTGAGAAATTTTTAATTAATAGGCCAGGAAAGAAGACAGATGCCAGAACACTGAGAAATGAAAGTTTGACCTGGCATTTCACTCTGGTCCTGTCCCTTCCTGGTGTGAAATTTGGTTATGTAAACAGGTCAACAACTTTATTAGGGATTGACTTACAAGTGCATTCAGAAATTAATCAAATCCTTTGTGTCATTTGTAACTAACTGACATGAGTAACTTACTGCAGAGCAATGGATCATATAGCTTTCAGTCTTAGCCCCTGTGTGGACAAATAAATGAGTGCTTCTAGTTTGTCATTGAAACCATAGCTGTATGTTTTACTCTTCGTTTTTCAGCTCAACGTGTGAAAGATATTCAAAAGGTTCAAGCCAAATATCCGGGCAAAATACCAGTCATTGTGGAAAGATTCAAGAAAGAAAAGCAGCTACCATTACTCTCTCGAACAAAGTTTTTGATCCCGGATCATCTTACTGTTGGCTACATCATCATGCAAATCAGGTATTTGCCTTGTCAAATAGAGTCCTAAGTCTTGAATTTCTTTTTAAACCGAAGCTGATGCATAGTTTTGGCGGCCATTCAGGCGAATGTTGCAGCTGAATCCAACCCAAGCAGTCTTTCTTCTCGTCAATCAGAGGAGTATGGCAAGTCAAACAATGACCATGTCCCAGCTTTACAACCAAGAAAAGGATCCTGATGGTTTCTTGTACATTGTTTATGCTTCACAAGAAACCTTTGGCTCTAAATAAGTGATCTCCCTCAAATTTATTTTGTTTTGCTAATTTGTTTAATTTGGTTCTTTTTATTCTTTTGACATACATTTTATTTTAAGAGAAATTTGTATTTTCGTGACTTCTATCTCATAGAAGGTATTGTTATTTCCTGGTTATTTATCACTGTGTATAAAAGCATATAATATAGAAAAATTTATGTAGTTTGTATCTACCAACTAACGTAAATGGTTTCAGCATTCTTATGGTTTATGGCTTATGCATATGCCACCCAATCTTGAATAAATTCTCTCCAGCTAAGTATAGTATCTTTCCCTTTTGTACTTAGCCCTTCTTAGAGCCACTCTTCTCCCTTTTCTTGCAGAAAAGGAAGTTTCTTTTAGTGTGTGCATGTCTTTCTTTGTAAGGGTTAATGTATTCAGAATCATTTTTACTTCCTTTTATGTCGCTTCCATGTTAGCAACTTGTTGCCATCAACTTAATGTTCCATGACTGTTTTCTCTTTCATTGGTGAAGGCTAGTAAAGCTGACTGAAAAAGAAATGCTTTTCAAATTTGGTAAAATTTGTTTTTTTTATGAGTGAAGAATGTACTCTCGAAGATTGGATTGTTCTTGATACTATCAAATCATTGTTTCTTTATAATGGTGCTATGCCAAATTTATTTGTCTAGTTTTGAGGAAATGTTTTTGTTTCAACAGGTTTTAAGTGTTATGATTTGACTTGGGGAGTCTTAACTGCTTTGATTAACCAGTTCCATTTCTTCCCTCAGAATTGCTTATTGATTCGGCCAGTTAATGGCTATTTCAGTACTAACATTGAGACATTTCCTTCTGTAAGGATGGAATGAGTGTCCTGGTGTTAAGCAAGGAACTGTATGATGTATGAGTTGATTGTTACCAAATGTGCAAATGTATGTTGCTAAAATCCTGAAAGCAACTAAATTTTAAGCGTTCCTCTTGTTTTTTTGAGTCTTACATTGTCTCTCTAGTGAAAAGATTGTGAAAGTGGGAAGGCATCTTTGTACATAGGTTTGAGTTGTAGCTTGAAAATTAGTTTTTGTTTATTGTTTTATATATTTAGAGTTTTGCCCCTTAAATTTTAGGAGTAATTGTAGGAAGTAATGCGCTCTTGTGTTTGCTGCTTCCTCCTAAGATGCAAGCTAGTGCACTACTGTGTGAGTTATTGTGATGTTCTGCAAGTGATATGTACAAACTAAGTCAGTTTCATATAAAATAAAGAAATGAAAAAAAAAACCATTGTGGTTGAAAAAATCTTTAAATGAAATCATCTACCTTCAGACATGAATAATGAGACATTTTACTTCATTTCTCTTCTAAAGTACAATACTAAGTCAGTTACTGAAGAGACACAAAGTGCTTAAATTAAGATACTAGTAAAAATTTTCACATCAATTATACATACACAAAACATCAAGGTAGAATCATGAGTAGTATGCATAGTGCAGAAAACATACAAAATAACTAAGAGAATAGCATTAAGAAATTCCATGTGATGCTCAGGGATGACATGAGCAATGTCCAGAACCAACACAAATAAAAGCTGACTATAGCTTATTGTTATTATAAAGACTTGAAAATTCACACACTTAATAGTTAAAAGAGACAGTAAAATTGTCATGCTCTTTCAGACATGACAAAGTTTCAGACAATAGGTACAAAAATTCAATCATAGTTATTTTGTACATCTCCTAGAAAAACAAAATGATGCATCCAGGTAAATGCACAATTAACTAACTCTCAGATAAAGACTAACTTTAACAATTTCTATTGCACAATATTTAAGAACAGGAGACATCTCACAGAAAAAGAAAACAAAAGAGGAAAGGCTCCATGCTCACATAAATGATAAAACTTTGTAGTACAGTGGCACCCTCAATTTCAGGGTACACACCCATTAAAGTGGGGTGGATAGTGGAAAAATATGACCACCCAAAATCTGTGTACAAAAGGCGTCTTGAAATGCTGTTCAATGCATTGTCAATAAATGGATATGAAACTATACAAAAAAGTACTTCATACAATTCAGCTGCATTATAAAGAACAAAGATCTCTTAAAGGTAATTTTTTCCAAAGGTATGTACACAATCATTCACTAGTAACTCACAGTTACCCGCAAAATGGCCAAGTCATTCATTGTAGAAGAACATAATGCTCAATAAAAGAGAATCAGAAAACAACAGTTCATGTCCAGGTCAGCAACTTGCAAATCATAATCAAAGTCACAGTCCTCACAAATCAATAAATTTCACTTAAGGGCCGATACATTTTACTCTCTACTACATGAAAAAGAAAAATATATATGATAAAATCAAGTGTGTACCTTGCACATCACAAGAAATAACTTTCACATAAAAATGGCTAATTTCATTTTCAAGGGAGAAATGTGAGATAGGAAACAAAGTTAACAGCAATATTCTTTGTTCCATGTGGAAAATTCTTTCATTCTGTTCATAGTCACTTTTGTTCAGCACTGAAAGACTAACATGCACACACACACCCACACGACACACATGCACGCACACATGGACATGCGTACTTGTGTTCTAAGTTTGTTACTCTTTTATATGAGGTACGTCAAAACCTCTGACATAATATACATATAAAATCATTTGCAATTCATCTCTGACAATAATGAATCTTTGACACTAAAAGAGCAGGGAAACTCCAGTCTGCGTCACAGAAGTTCTCAGACATGAACACAATTGATACATTTTCTTTGTCTCTTACACAGGTAGAAATATACTTGTCTTTGTCTCTTTCACTCTAAAAACGTGTGCGAATATAAACAGCTGACACATCATGGTCACCATAGCCAAGTCGCTTGGCATGTTTGTACACCTCGTTGACTGACGCAGTGATTGGGAGGGGATGGTCCAGGCTGTCGCCCATGCCCAATGATAACTTGAGGTCCTTGGCCATGTGTTGTAGTGCCTGATGAGTGGGGAAACCTCCTTCGATGATGGCTAGAAAACAAAACAAGAAAAAACCTTTCAGGTGGAGGACTTACGAAACCATCAACTAACAACAAATGCCAAACTACATAGCTTCTCTTTGTCGCAACAAACGGAATATTTTCACTTACCATTTCCCTTTTCATAGATGAGTGGGCAATTGAGATTTGTGAGAGTTAGGATCTCCATCACATCCTTCTGTTGCAGCCCAGCTCTGTCAGCTAATGCCATGCCTTCTGCCAATCCAGCAAGGCACACCCCAGTCACAAGCTGCAGGACTAAATTCATCTTGGATGCATTGCCAACATCACCTAAGGGAGAAGAACAGATCAGATTCAATAAAGGAATGAAATTAACACACAGTCAAATCTTTCAGTCATCAAAGTAGGAATAAGATTAAAATGTTTATTACCAAGGAAAAATGAGTTCTTTCCCATAGCTTCAAAGCATGATTGGCAATCGTCAAACAAGGAACGGTCTCCTGCAGCCAATACAACTAGTGTACCATCCTCGGCCTGGGTTTTACTACCTTGTACCTGAGCCTCCAGGTAGCGCCCTCCTTTGGTCATAATGGCCTGAAAAACATTAGTTCATAACTTTAGTACGTGGAAAACCCCTCAATGACAGAAGAGCCACTATTTGGCAAATACAGTACGAAACCATACCTCAGAAATATCTTTTGAAGTTTCGGCATCAATGTTGGTCATTTCAACGTAGCCCTTGCTGGGTCCTATCTCACACAGCACACCACAGTTGCCAAACACCATCTGCAAAAGAGAGACCCATGAAGACAAAGGCTCAGAATTGGACTTCGGGAAAAAGCTGCGCTGTGCGACAATCCCAGCTTGGCCCTTCATAGCCAACGGTATACTTACATCTTTGGCAGCCTGAGGGTTGGCGACGCAGGCGAATGTAACGTCGGCGGCTTGAATCACGTCGGAAGGGGTGAGGCCGTGGGCAGCGCCGACTTTCACGAACTCGTCACACTGGAAAAAGCACAAAAATGCGGGCTGGATGAGTGCCGGGAAAAATCATCGGAAAACATAAACAAGCAGGCAGGTGAAGAATTGGCCCGACTAAAACGCCCGGGCAGTAGGCAGCCAGCCCGCTCGCCTGTCCGGCGGGCTGGCCTACCCGCAAGGGGCCTAGCTCCGCGCACAGTGGGCCAGAAGACCGGTGGAGGCGGACAAAACTCTAGACGCGTTTGGAGCTCCAGAGCCGATAGAAGGGACTCGAACCGAACGTGTGACCCCACCAATGGATTCCTCCTTCGGAGAGCAATCCATTAGTGGGGCCACACGCTCGGTTCGAGTCCTGGAGCTCTGAACATACGTATCCGAGTTTTGACCGCCTCCGCCGGTCTTCTGGCCCACTGAGCCGCGCCAGCCCTGCCAGCAGGCCCATCGCGGTCGCACGTATTTTTATGCGGCAGGTGCATACTTGTAATGAGTGTTGCGACACCTTGCCCCCCCCCTCCCCCAATCTTTAAATAGACTTCGCACGGCAGAGCAACAACGGGTTGGTGTTCCGGTACGACGCCACAGCAGCCGGCGGACCTAGATTGGGCCCCATGGGAGAGCAATCCATTGGTGGGGTCACACGTTCGGTTCGAGTCCCATTAAGCGACTCTGGAGCTCAAAACGTGTCTAGAGTTTTGGCCGCCTCCACCGGCCAAAGCCAGGAGCCGGAACCGGGATGTCAACGCCTTGAAACTAAAAATCCAGGAAAAACGTAAGAAACTCCTTTCAGTGAGCTAGATTGACTGAGGACGGAGTGGAGGCGCCCTCTACTCGGCGACACACGTGCTGCGTCACTTGCAAGCAGTTTACGGGCAAGCCGCTTGCGCCTCGACGCTCTGTTTGGCGAGAGAGCGCGCTCGTACAAACACAGAGCACAACGAGTGCGGCAAAGACAACAAGCGGGCGGGGGAAAACAACACGTCCTCCAAATTACAGGTACACCCTCGGGGCTGCCACGGCGCCACGGCACAGTGGGCCAGAAGACCGGCGGAGGCGGTCAAAACTCTGGACGCGTTTTGAGCTCCAGAGTCGCTAAGTGGGGCTCGAACCGAGCGTGTGACCCCACCAATGGATTCCTATCGTTCGGAGAGCAATCCATTGGTGGGGCCACACGTTCGGTTGGAGGCCCATTCAGCGACTCTGGAGCTCAAAACGCGTCTAGAGTTTTGTCCGCCTCCACCGGTCTTCTGGCCCACTGTGGGGCCTAACGTACAGAGGCGCGGACCCAGGAGGGGGGGAGGAGGGGGGAATCTGTAAGTAGGCAAAAAGCGCGCTCCGCACAAAAATCCTAGATCCTCGCCTCAACGCGCAAACCGACGCAAACCGGCGAGTCGAGGCTAATTGAGAATAATGACGCCAAAAAATAGAAAAAGTCCAAACACGGCTGGGGAACCAGCCCGACTTCCTCAGCCATGCTGCCCCTCCGTCGACCCGTCGCTCTGTCTCTCTCGCACTCGTGGGGCTCGCCGTGAGGGTGCGAGGGAGACAGCGACAGAATCACTCGGCAGCCGGAGACGCTCCCCTCCAAATATAGGGCCGGCCGTATGGGGCTGCCGCGCTGGGCGTGTCCCTATGACCTTTCGGGGTGTCGTGCAGGGCTAGGCGGAGAGCGAGAGGGAGAGAGAGAGAGCGAGAGAGCGAGAGAGAGAGAGAGAGAGAGAGAGAGAGAGCGAGAGAGAGCGAGCGAGAGAGAGAGAGCGAGAGAGAGAGCGAGAGAGAGAGAGAGCGAGAGAGAGAGAGAGCGAGAGAGAGAGCGAGAGAGAGAGAGAGAGAGCCCTGCAGGCCAGATCGAACACGACCGGGGGAGCGGGCCCGGGCGGCCCCCGCAGCCCCCAGAGTGAATGACCCACAGAGGTACCACTGCACCGGCTGGCCCCCTCGCCGGACAGCGCGCACCACGCCAGGTAGGCTCGACTCGTCTCTGTCGCGTCTAGACGCCACCCACACCCAGCCAGCCGCGCGAGCCAGCAGACTCATTCCGAGAGTCACTCTCTCACCGGTCTTCCGGCCCACTGTGCACCCCTCTGAGCCCGTCTCTGGATCCGCCCTGGCGGCGCGAGGTTGGGCTCGGGACGACGGGCACACTGGCAGATCAATGGCACAGTAGAGTAGGGCCGCGGTGGCCATCGCCGCCCGTCAATAGAACAGGCCGGGCCGAGCCGGGCAGGGCCTCTAGTCTAGGGCAGGGCCGGCAGGGCCGGCAGGGCGGCCCCGAAGGTCGTAACCTCGCCGTGACCACGGGCTGGGCGGGCCGGGCCAGCCGGGCGGGGCCGGGCCCCAGTTCGACCACTCCACTGTCATCGCCAGCGCGGCGCGCCACGCCACGCCACTGCCAAGCGGAGCGGGTCAAGCCCGAGCCGCCCCCGCCGGTGCAGCCGAACCCGACGCGTCGGCTCTGAGCGTGTCTCTCTCGCACTCACGGGGCGAGCGCGTGGGTGCGAGAGAGACAGAGCTAGGCGAGGCGTGATGTCGAGGCCGCACGCCGGGCGTGATAACGCAAGCGTCAAAACAGTGGGCCGGGCGGGCCGGGCGCGCCACCGTGACAAACGCCAAACAGCGACGCCAACGTCGGGCGGGCGGCAATTACGGCGATATCTCGAAAACGAGGCAAAACGACGCCAATCCAATTTCGAGGCCGAAAATGCATCGCGTCGCTGGCAGGGACACCGACAATCGATACACTAGCGTGGCGGCCCCTACGCGAACAGCTTCTAAGATTCATCCCGATTCCCAAGGCGGCGTGAGTGGAAGGCCCCCACGGGGAACGGTTCTCACGCAGCAACGCGACGTCACCGGCACGCCGCTGTCGGCAGGCACTCGGAAAGCAAGACCAGCAGCACGGCCAGGCGCAGTGTGCCAGAAGACCGGTGGGTGGAGGCGGGCAAAATCCTAGACACGTTTTGGGCTCTAGAGTCGCTATAAGGGCCTCGAACCGAACGTGTGACCCCACCAATGGATTCCTCGTTCGGAGAGCAATCCACTGGTGGGGTCACACGTTCGGTTCGAGTCCTCATTTAGCGACTCTGGGGCTCAAAACGCGTCTAGAATTTAAGCCGCCACCACCGGTCTTCTGGTGGCCCACTGTCCGCGGCAGAGGCAGCGCGCCGTCAGGCCGCCACCGAGGCCGGCAGGGTGCTCAGTCACCTGCCTAGACAGACGACAGAGGAAAAAGAGACAGAAGATAAAATAAAAAGAAATTAACTGTCCTAAAAAAAGGCATTTTCAAAAAGAAATTTGGGCGGCACGTGAACCCGCGCGCCGTGGGCCTTGCGCGGCCTTGCCGCCGCTTTTTAGGACCGACGCGGTAACCGCGGCCAGCACACCGGGCATTCATTGGCAAAGCGTGGGCAACCGCCACACTTTCAGTGTCACGGTCGACACCGCCGCCTCTCTCTCTCTCTCCCTTTCCGTGTCGCGCCCCGACGGGCCAACCGTGGGTGCGAAAGAAAGAGCGCCGCGCTGACCACGGCCGGCCGAAACTCCAGACGCGTTTTGAGCTCCAGAGCCGCTGAATGGGACTCGGACCGAACGTGTGACCCCACCAATGGATTGCTCTCCGAACGAGGAATCCATTGGTGGGGTCACACGTTCGGTTCGAGTCCCATTCAGCGACTCTGGAGCTCAAAACGCGTCTGGAGTTTTGTCCGCGCCCACTGTGCGGGCGTTCGGCAAACCCGGTCAAACCCGGCCTCGCAAGCCGGGAACGAGTTGCACAGTGCAGGGAGCGGATCCCGCGGGACGCCGTGGTTCCCGAGGGTTGTCGCGTGCGCAGCTGGGCGGGGAAAGGGGGGGGGGGGGACAGCCGGCGCAAACTGGTACCGCCTCTCGCGGCCCGCAGCGCACCAAGGACCGCGTCTGTCTCTCTCGCACCCCCACGCGGCGCCGCCCTGCGCCGCACGCGTGCGAGAGAGACAGCGAGTCGCGTGCTTCCCATTTCACATGTCCGAATCGCATCATCGCATCGGGGCGACGCGACGCGCCCGGCCAATCGGACGCGCGCCGCCGAGTCCTCACGGCGTCCACCTCCGACAAAACGGGCCAAGTTTGCCTTTCTTCAGGCCGCGTCCAAACCCGGTCAAACACTCGCTGTACAGGTGGCGCACAGTGGGCTAGAACACCGGCGGCGGCCAAAACTCAAGACGCGTTTTGAGTCCCAGAGTCGCTAAATGGGAGTCGAACCGAGCGTGTGACCCCACCAACGGATTCCTCGTTCGGAGAGCAATCCATTGGTGGGGTCACACGTTCGGTTCGAGTCCCATTTAGCGACTCTGGAGCTCAAAACGCGTCTTGAGTTTTGGCCGCCTCCACTGGTCTTCTGGCCCACTGTGGCGCCGCTGTCGAACGAGGGGCCGGGGGGCCGCGACGCCGCGACCGGCTGGCACAGACACAGCCCCCGGGCGGCGCCATACGCTCGTCCTTCTTTAACGAGCTGAGAATTGGACAGTAAACGCGTCACTACGAGCGACGTACGACGGCCTGCTTTTAACGCCGCCACGCGGTCAACGCCCGTTCACCAGAAACCCTTCCAAACTCGAAACGAAAATAACAAAAACACGACGCGTCGAGGGTGGCTCGCCTTCTTGGCAGTGTGGGTGGCTCGCGCGACACGCCGCGGGTGACTCAGCCAAGCCGTCGCTCTGTCTCTCTCGCACCCACACGGGGCGCCCCGCGAGCGCGAGAGAGACCCGCCTCTCTCTCAATCGGTCTGCTGCGGCGTCGCCGGCGTCGCCAGACACAAGGAAACCCCGTCCCGGCCGTCGCGGCAAGCACCAGCAGACCCATGCCGAGGAGTGCGTCCCTCATCGTACCGCGTTCGGTTCAACGAGTTCAACCAGTGGGCCAGAAGACCGGTGGAGGCGGCCAAAATTCGAGACGCGTTTTGAGCTCCAGAGTCGCTGAATGGGACTCGGACCGAACGTGTGACCCCACCAGTGGATTCCTCGTTCGGGGAGCAACTGTTGCCCGATGACGTAACAGGCACCGCAAGGGGTTTGCAAGTGCAGCAATGAGCGAATTGGCAACACTGCCCCGCTCCGCCCCAGCCAGTGTAGTAGCCACTGCAGATGACGTACGGCTGTTTTTAGGTCGAAGGCTTTTTGTCATCCGGTGCTTCCCGACCCAAGGCGGCGGCACTCGCACACAACACAGTGGGCCAGAAGACCGGCGGAGGCGGCCAAAACTCCAGACGCGTTTTCAGCTCCAGGGTCGCTAAACAGGGCTCGAACCGAACGTGGGCCCCACCAATGGATGCCTCGTTCGGAGAGCAATCCATTAGTGGGGTCACACGTTCGGTTCGAGTCCCATTTAGCGACTCCGGAGCTTACAACGCGTGCGGGATTTTGACCGCCTCCACCGGTCTTCTGGCCCACTGTGCGACAGTCCTCGGCGACGAACAGTCCCGCACTGTACAGCGTCCACGACTGTGTTCGACTGGAGTCGGCCAAGCAGCCGGGCCTTGTTTTCGGCTAGCTGTTTTGAGCGAGCCAGCCGCCACACTGCCATGGCACTGCCGCCGCGCAGCGCGACAAGCAGCCACAAAACAGGTTCCCTTCTTTTCGCCGAGTCGTTTTCGTCGCTCTCTCTCTCTCGCACTCACGGGGCGCCCCGTACGGTTGCGAGAGAGACAGAGCGACGAAAACGACTCTCGGAACCAGTCTGCTTCCCTGCGTCTCGCTTGACGCAAGAGCTGGACGCGCTGGACGGGAGGAAGTGAACCAAAAAGGAGAAGAGAGAGAGAGAGAGAGAGAGAGAGAGAGAGAGAGAGAGAGAGAGAGAGAGAGAGAGAGAGAGAGAGAGAGAGAGAGAGAGACGCAAGATCCAGCACGTGTGCGGGGCTCACGTGCAGGGTCTGCCGAGCCGCGAAACTCGACCAAACACTACAATTTATTCAATTGCCGATTCGTTCCTTTCGGGCATTTCTTTTTTTCTGGTGGCACGGCACGCCGGGCACGTAGCCCAGGCCATGACTGGCGCCGCGATTAGATAACAAGCCGAGCGCCTACCTGCCTGACCCAGCGCTAATGAGAGAGAGAGAGAGAGAGAGAGAGAGAGAGAGAGAGAGAGAGAGAGAGAGAGAGAGAGAGAGAGAGAGAGAGAGAGAGAGAGAGAGAGAGAGAGAGACAAATCGGTGCAAGTCTACGCGCGGCGGCGAGCAATGCTACCACCACGCCCGCCGAACGAGCAACACGGAATCAAAACCGAAAGTTGCGGCTCTTGAGAGCCAATCTCGATCGCCACTGTCGCGAAGCTGCAGACCCACTCAGACGACTGACAGCAAAAATTGCAACCGAAAGCAAAACGGAAAATTTCGTTTGTTGTGGTTGACAACGCTTTGCTACAACGCGTTTTGCCAGTTCCCCCACTCGGGTCCGAGAGGGCCAGAACGCCTACCGCAAGCAGTGGAAAAAGCGCGCGCCCTTTCGACGGCACCACGGCGAGGCATATCGTTTGGCTGCAGCGGCAATAACCTTGACAGCCAACGCGCCCGAGAGGCCGAGGGAGGGGGAAGGGGTGAACTTGCCCCCATTGCCTTGGCTTCCCTGGAACGACGCCCAATCCGCACTCTGGCGGATCAAAAGGGCGCCCCACAGTGGGCCAGAAGGCCGGCGCAGGCGGCCAAAACACTCGACGCGTTTCGAGCTCCAGAGTCGCTAAATGGGACTCGAACCGAACGTGTGACCCCACCAATGGATTCCTCGTTCAGAGAGCAATCCATTGGTGGGGTCACACGTTCGGTTCGAGCCCCATTTAGCGACTCTGGCGCTCAAAACGCGTCGAGTGTTTCGGCCGCCCCCGCCCACTGTGGGGGAGCGACAAAGGCGGGAAACACTCAAAACTGGGGGAGGATGGACCGCAGTGTGTCCACAGGGGAGAGGAGGGGGAGGGGGAGAGATTGAAACACTCGCCAATCAATATGTAACCAGGACTCGCGTGGCTCGCCGTGGCGTCCACCGGAAGTGCGCGTCGCTTCGCAACGTTCGCAACGCCCGCGAAAGAAAGGCGGGAGGGGGAGGGGGAAAGCGAACCGACAAAACTGACGCGCCGCGGCGGGGAGTCGAACCCGGAGCTGGCAGCGGCATCCCCGGGAGGGGCGCGCCGACACCGAGGCGGCCGTGGCAGTGCCGTGGCGTCGTGGGATGATGCGGATATCACTCGTGGCGTCTAAAAGTCTAAAAATACACGAGACGTCCGAAGTGCCACGCCGCGGCACGCCGCAGCCGGCGCGGACTAGGGAACGCGAGCACCGCGGGGCGCGGCAGCCACGTCCAAAAACGACGGGCGTCATTCAATTCGACCAGTGTAGGCAACCCGCGAGGCGAGGCGCCACCTCGTTTTCGACAGTGCCCTGGGCTGCGCTCTAGGCAGCGCGACACCGACCCGGGGTTTCCCTGGGGCTTCACAGTGGCCTCACTGTAACAGCGGCGCCTTCTTGGGCGTTCTTTTTCGCGGTGTGCCGCCGCCGCGTGCTGCTGGCTACATAACACGGGCCAGTCATTTCCCAGTGTAGTGCAGTGGCCTGGGCCGGCTGGAGCGCGGCGGCGGGGCCTCGCTCTCTCTGCTGCACCGGAGGCACGCCCTCCCGAGTCAGAGAGAGAGGGAGAAACAGGCTCACCACATATCGGTCATTACGAGGAGGCCACCGACATCGCACGGGCCGCGGGGGGCGGAGGGGCCCGTCCGGCAGCGAGCCACGGTGGGCCAGACGACCGGTGGAGGCGGACAAAACTCTTAGACGCGTTTTGAGCTCCAGGGGACTAGAACCGAACGTGTGGCCCCACCAATGGATTCCTCGTTCGGAGAGCAATCCATTGGTGGGGTCACACGTTCGGTTCGAGTCCTGTTTAGCGACTCTGGAGCTCAAAACGCGTCTAGAGTTTTGGCCGCGTCCACCGGTCTTCTGGCCCACTGTGCGGTGGGGCCCGTCCGGCAGCGCGCCCGCCCGCCCTGGGACGGCCGGCCCCCACAGGTAGCCGCCAGAGCCAAGACGGGCCAAAATGCCTGGCAGCCGTCTGGGCACCGCGCTGCCCGCCGCAGTTAGCGGAACCGAAGCGCGTCCAGATTCAAATCGAGTTGAGGGAGGGAGAGAGAAAGGGAGAGCCTTCCGCGGAACAGGCGTCGCGCTAACGTTGCGCTCGTCAGCTCGTGCAGGCCCTCGTCCTGCGCATGCGCGGCGGGCAGCGCGGCTCGGCAGGACGGACGCCGACCCTCGCCCTGCCCTTCCCTTCCCCCGTCATCCCCGTCCCGTCGCGAGGCCCAGCCCGGCGGCGCGGCGCGTCGAGCCCGCACGCGGATGCCGACGTACATCGTGGAAAGGGGTGGGGGGCACGGCCCGGCGGCCAGGCAGGCAGAGGCAGGCAGGCAGGCAGCAGGCGGCCAGGCAGGCAGGCAGGCAGCAGCAACCCAGAGCCGCAGCGGACGGAGCGGAGCAGCGAGCGGAGCCCACCAGCCAGCGGGTCGGGTCGATGGGACACACTGAACAGCCATCTTGGCCAGCCGTCGACGTTCTAGACCGCCGTCGAACCCTTTGCCGAGTAGTCCCGCGTCGCCGCCATGCCCCTTGGTGCCCCCGTGCGCCCTAGTGCCCTCCTTGAGCTCCGCCAGCGTCGCCAGCGCCCAGCGGCGTCCAGGGACCCGTGAGGACCCCGCCAGAGGACGCCGTCGAGCGCCAAAGTGCCGCCAGGCCCGCCAGCAGCGCAGGACGTGTCCACAAGCGACTGGAGCCATGAAGGGCCCCAGCTAGAATGCGATAGTGCTCCGCCAGTGCTAGCAGTGCAGTGGTTTTCGTTTCGGGGCAAACGGAGTGCGGACCGCCCACGGCAGGGCTTACAGGCAAGCAAGGTGAGGAACCAGGACTTCGGGGGGTGAGGAGTTGAACCCAGGACCCAGGTGCATTCGGCCCGGGTAACCGGGTCAGGAGTGGTTAGTGGTTATGTTTTGCCTTGGAGCATCACAAGACATTGACTGTGTCACGCCACTGCTTTTCCACTGCGGTTCAACCCTCGCCTTGAGCAATACTGAAGCAGAACAATAGAGAGGAACTTCAAACTAAACCTCCTTTAAAAAGACAAAAGAAAAAAAATATAGACAAATACATCAAATTTTAAAGAAAATTGGATTATAATTTCTTTAACTCCTAACAATTATGCCAAAAATGTTTTTGTTCTCCTTCCAGGCAACTTGCCCTATAACGATAATGCACTACTGTGAAAGATGAGACTCCTCAACAAGATCCGGATTGTCATTTGCACATTCCTGATCTTGATAGCTTGCAGTGCGGCTTCCACCTCTCCCTCACTAGAACATTCCAATCCCCAGACATACGATGGCCCCTGTCCAGCATCGTGTGTTTGCACACTGGAGGACTCTTTGCATTTGGAGTGTCACAACTCCCAGACAAAGGCTATTGGGTTGCCCCCAGAAGCCGGCTTCATATCATACAATTTCATGACACATGACGACTTCCATAGACCAGCCATAACAAGAGCTACCTCAGTACGACATCTAGCCTGGCGGCACAGTCGCATTACTACAGTAACTGAGGAACTCTTTTCTAATTTACATAATCTAACCCACCTGGATCTCAGCCATAATCAAATTGCAACGATAGATGAGGCAGCTTTGCAGCATTTGACTTCCCTCAGGTCAATAAACATTTCTAATAATGCTATAAACTTTCTACCACATGGCTTGTTTTTGAACAACCACCATTTAAATGAGGTGTACGTAGCAAACAACTATATACAATCTGTCCCTTTCCACGCCCTAGCTCCATTGAAAGAACTTCGGGTTTTAGACCTCTCTTATAATAGATTAAATGAAATTCAAGATGATATATTTGTGCTTAATCGGAAAGTGCATTCAATACTATTGCACAGTAATCTAATATCTAGGTTGTCAGAACGAACATTTCATCATCTTTATGATCTCAAGTCATTAAACCTAGTCAACAATTCTTTGACAGAGCTGCCAAAAAATCTGTTTAAAGATCTAGTAAAATTGACGTACTTAAATTTGGCAAGCAATTCTATCCATACATTGCTCCCTGATGCATACAAAGGTCTAGTGCAATTGAGATGGCTTAATATAAGTGACAATCCTCTGTCAGTTTTGCCAGCTAGAATTTTTCAATATTCACCTCAGTTGGAAACATTGTGGATTGATACAACCAACATAGAAGTTGTAGAAAAACACACTTTTAATGGGCTAAGAAATCTAAAAGAATTAAGTATGAAGGACAACATGCACTTGGAGGATCTTGAAGACAAAATGTTCGATGATATTAAAAAATTAAATTATCTTGACTTGAGCAGAAATAATCTGACAACTCTTCCCCACTCTCTAGGAACTTTAAAAAATTTAACTAATTTAAACATTAGTCAGAACCCTTGGATGTGTGACTGTCGTATGGTCTGGTTCCCTTCATGGCTGGAACCTAAGAAAAATATGACCTTTGAAAGATCAAATCTACGCTGTGCTAGTACCCTCTTCTCACTTAGAGGGCTGAGTTTAGTACCTACATTGCGGGGCTTGGATTGCAAACCACCTGAACTAATTTTCTCCACCTCATCAGAAAAATATATTTTGAAGTCAACTGCTCTCCTTCAATGTATCTATTCAGGTTACCCTCCTCCATCAATAACATGGCTTACACCAAATGGACTGACTTTTCACTGGAATCCCAATGTGGCATTGCCTGACGAATTTGCTAAACACCCAACCGCACACTACTCCGACATGTCCCCCGTCGAACTGACCCCACACAAATTTCATGTGACTGAGAATGGAAGTCTGCACATAGTCAACATCACTAGGGCAGATGCAGGGCTGTACACCTGCTTTGCTTCAAATCCAATGGCCAACGCAACAAACTACATCAGGCTGATGATTGACCCCATTACCATGCATGAGGAGAAACTCATCAGCATCGCTGTGGGCATGGTGACTGCACTATTATTCCTGGGGATCAGTCTCCTAGTCAACCTTTTCAGACGATTCATTCATATGTAAGTTATTTCAGACTGACTACTATTAACAATTCCCAAAGTGAAAAAAAAAAATAATATGAAAATTTAATGAACTTTATTTTGTTGCATTTCTAGATTTGCATGCTTTGCCTGCTGCAAGAAAGACCAAGTCTCACCAAAAGGAAGGCAGGTGTACCAGATGATGGAGAGTATAGAAACTTACAAGACCCAGCAGCTGGATAAATTGAAAGAAAACTACACCAGTCAGGTAAAACGAGAGAGGGAAAAGAATATTAATAATAAGATTTCAAATTAGAGAAATTGAGACTAATTTTGATTCAAATTACAGGTTCATAGGATAAAAGAAAACTGCGCACAACAGGTAGAATGGATCAGAGAAAGCTACCAAAGTCAAATGCAGCACCTAAAAGACTTCAGGGACTTTGGGACTAGTCATCTGACATCAATGAGGGATCAGTACTGTGATCAGGTAAGCCTAAGTTTTAAAAAAAAAGCAAAAAAATAAATTTAACATCATAAATTTATGTTACTATAGCCCTCCTCCCTCAAATTTTATTGTTCCAGATTAAGAGAGTGAGAGAGTATTCTGCCAGCCAACTGAATTGGGTGAAGGAAAATTATGTGTTCCAACGAAATCGAATAAGAAAGTTCAGTTCTCACCAAATTCTGCGGTTCCGTGAATCTTACAAATACCAACAAGCAACGCTCGGCAAACTCATGGAGACACTGCCCAGCTTGTATCTGGATAACTGTCGCAATGGATCATGTGGCAAGACAGAGTCTGGTGTCTTTGAAGTGGATATCAACCAAATAGACATGTATATGAAGGCCAATGGCATGTTCCCTGGCATGTCAACGGGAGAAGGATGTGCTGATGACAACCTCAGCCGCCTTTCAATCTACTACACCCCCTCAGAGATATCCGAGCTTCAAGATCCAAGCCTAGAGCCACTCAAGTCACCATACTTCTCACCAATGTCTCGTTCATCCAGCAAGCAGCCCAACTTCCGGTTTGGATTTCCCCCAACCACAAGTGAAAACCAGAGAGCAGTGTTCCAGAGTTTAGAAAAGACTTTAGAAAGACAATTACGTGATTACATCACTCGAGAGCATCAAGTTCAAGAGGCTGCACCATCGGCACTTGTTCCCAGTTCAAGTCTTCCTGAGATAAAGCAAGCGGTTCCAGGTAAAGGGAAGAGCAGAAGAGCCCATTACCGGAGTGCCAGTACGGGGGGTGTCAAGTCAGTGACCAGTGATACTAGCATATCAAGGCAGATACCAGGGAAACACAGTGTCAAGGGTAAGCATGTGGCGAACAATGCTGTCAACAATGCTGTCAACAGTGCTGCAGATTACTCCTGCCAAAATGGTCACGCTGTGGCCATTCAAAAGTTGACAGAGGTTGACAATGGCCATGCTGTGGCCGTACATGATAGGCCAACAGAAATCGACCAGGACACGTGTCGAATAAATATGGATCAGGAGCCAGAAATTAACTGTTCGCCATCACATGCTGCCCATGAGACTGCCCTATAGTGAGTGCCAATAACTTGATTTAAATTAAATTCAGCTGTGATATTATAAACATATGGGTTAAAATGTGTGAGAATACAAGTTTGTGATTATTAAATCAAGTTATTCCTTACAACATGTTTCCTCCAGTAAGCTCAAATATTGAGTAGAAGTCTGACATGAAAAATGATATAACTGTGTGATAGGGAATAGGATACCTTCTGTTAACTGTGTTAAGACAGAAATTCCCTACATGGAGAGATGCTTTAAAACAGAAAAGGAAAAAAATTCCATATTAGAAGATTTAACTATCCAAGGATAGTGACAGAAAGTTGTGGCATACATCAGGCAGCCTGCAGTGATGACACAAATTTAGGAGAAAGTAGGTTGAAGCTGAAACCTTGAGAGCTAAATGAGAGCTAAACAAATATGCAATAGGAGCATATAGGCCTTCAGGCTGATTTTAACCTACCAATAAAGTAGCATTAGAGTTCAATTACAATACCTTCTTGTCCTTAAGGTACTGGGTAGAATTGTGATAATTATTGTTTTGTTATTTCTATCTTTTGAACAAGCAAAAAACCAACATGGAGTTAACCAATATTAACCTCATGTTACTGAACAATATGAAACTGTTGCCCTTGCATCTGCTTCCATGTAGAAGTTTCTTAAATCAAAGACTTGTGTTGAGCAAATCTAGAAATGAGGAGTATTTGCATGTTTTTAAAGTTAAGATTTTAGTAGTAATATGAGATAAGCTATTATCAGTATAGAAATGAGTACCTGTTCCAAAGTGTCCTGCTGTAGCAGTTGAAAGGCTCTGGACATACAATTTGAAGAACATCGAGATAAAATTGTTAAGAAGAACCTTCAATAAAATTTTAAATATCAAACTTCATATTGTTATCAAAAATTGTTTACTGTTTGATGTGTTGTAAAACTGCTAGACAACTTGAGACTTGCCTTAATAGTGGGATCAGTTTATATTTTTTAAAAAAAGAGGGAAAAGACAATGGAACATACAATTGGAGCAAAAGGTGCTGAAAATTCAGTGCAAATATTAATGCTTCAATAATCACTTCCTTGGACTTGGCTTCTAGATCTACCAGTAGTTCAATATGAGATGTCTAATCCTTCACTAAATTTTACCATATTGATATTCAATTAATTGTATTTAGATTTTTTTAAATAATAACTGATCACGAGAGTCATTATTGTAAGAGGAAGTTGACTGTTTCCATAAATACTTGTTGAAGATTTAGCTTTGTGTGATAAGGATATTTGATTTGAAATGTATATGAAGGCATTTAACTTACAGCACATTGTGTGCAAGTAAATGCTTCAATAAAAGAAGTATGATGTGTTCAATAGCCTTGCCCAAACCTCTATTTGAAGAAGCCCAAAAAAAAACAAAAAAAAAAACAAAAAAAAAACACTGAACTAGAAAAATCCTCAAAATTTGTATCCTTGCACAAACATATCAGGTTGACAAACCGTGTAGCAGGAGTGTAAAAATCTTTATGCTTTCGCAATAGCAACCCTGTACAGGTATGGTCAAAAATGCCAGGCAGGAAGACAAATTCTAGTTTGGCCACAGCAACTTGTGCAAGAAGTGAGTGAAAACAGCTTACCTTATCAGGAGAGCGGTTCCAGACGACAACTGAATGACCAGAATTGATCAGGTTTTTCACCATTCCGGATCCCATGATGCCCAAACCAAGGAAACCGAACTTAAGTTGAGATGGGTTGATATTCTTCTCTTTCAGAATTTTGGACACACTTGACAGATCTAAAGTAGGTGTTACCTGCAGCAGTAACATGATGTCATTGAAACATAGATTCAATGAGCATGCAGTCTAAAATCAAAATGGGATAACTTACAGGGCGAACAGCAGTGAATGGACGATCTAAAATTGAGGCAACACCTACTCCTTTACGGGCTGGAGAGCTATGGTTACCAACACTAATTTCATCACTACGGCTAGATCGTTTACTAGCAACCTCATCCTGTTCATCCTCAGAGGATGTGGTCCTTGCCTTCTTGCGACCTGGACCAGAAATAGTAGGTGATGAGCGCTTTGGTGTTTTGTTAGTGTGGTTCTGGGAGAAAAAATCAAATATTAGGCAGAGCACGATAAACAAGAGCCAAAATAAAATTTCCTCACCAGCTCTTTAAGCTCACCTTTCTCAGAAGAGATGACTTAGGTTCCTTCTTTACAGTAACAGACTCTTTCAGACGGTCAAACTCATCTACAGTATCTGTCACATCAAAAGTGTCCTAAAAACATAAAAAGGCATTACAAATAAGAAAAATTATAACCTCCTTTACCACAGCATACAGCATCATCTCTTTAAGAAAGACCAGAATATAAATACTGTTTTGTTATTTTTGTATCCAACAGCAAAGAAAAAAGAAACTTACAGTTCCGTTTCCCTTCCTGTAGTTTTCAATTTCTTCAATAGCTTCTTTGAAAGGGACTGTTTTATTAGCTTTAATGAGCTCCTCCTTGTGTGGTAAGTAGGGCTTAATATTGTTTTCTTCAATCCAAGCACTGTAAAGTAAAGGAAAGCACCACAATATTTTTTAAGTTTCACAGTTTTAAAAAGATCAACAATATTGAGAAATTTGTAAGAGGCAGTATTTACAAGTTTTTTGTTCCAAAGAAGAAGACAAACTGACAAGCTCCCTTCTTGGATACAGGCTTTTTGTGGTCTTTGCTGGTAGGAGCAGTGATCTGAAACAGGCAAGACACAATTGACTCAAAAAAATTTAAAACTGTATGTGATCAGATAAATATGCAGATAATGCATTTGCCATTATTAAAAGATTGTACGAAATCAAGCGAATCAACTTACGCGGCCTGGCCATGGCGAGAAGCCCTTCATTTTGGCCCTAAAAAAGAAAATTATGTGCATCAGGCTCAATTAAATAAGAATAATGAAACACAACACACACATGAGACAAAATAAATTAATCTGGTGTGTGAAGAACAAAGAAGAAAAAAATACAGAATGAAAAGGCAAAATTGGATCTTTTGGCAAAAGTCATAATGAAATTGTTCAATCCCAGAGAAACCAGTGCAAACACGCACGCCTAGATTACGATTTACAACCATCGTGGGCAAATGCCAGGCACACAAAATAAGTCAACGATAAAAGGGTGAGAGGAGAGGTGTACACGAACATAATTTTAAGTGAGCATCACAACAAGTTACAAGTACAGTGAGAATTATGTACTCCATGGCCGATGCCAGTGGGCATGTTGAACTGGGTGAAAATCTGTGGCCTGTTAAACAGCCTAGTTGGCACAAAGTGTTCTGTAAGGTAGGATGGAGCACTGGGAACTGAAAGAATGACACCTCAGAGAGTCCATGCCGCTTATTTCGGCGATTAAACGCTTCTCCCGTAATAAACTGAACGAGTGCCGATTTTCTAGTGGATCAAGTGGTGCGTTGGGGGGAAATTTCATGGGGAAATGCGGTAGTTGTTGAAAACGTAAATAGAATGGTTGAGCCGGAGCAGAGCAGACGCGCAAGCGGGCCTTCAAAACGCGCCACAACTTGCATGGAATGAACCAAATGCACGTCTGAGAGCTTGAAACTGTGAATGGACGGGCTTTAATCATTTGTCACTTGAATTTTCAACCCAACAAGTTGAGTTTCACATGTAAATAAAGATATCGACAGCTTCGGCTGAAGGCGGGAAGAAGCCTGCCGATTTGTACTCGTGGTTATGTCGACGGCCATTTCCAAGCTGAGGCTCAAATCGGGCCACTGTTGCGCTCAAACGATAGAACGCCGCGTTGCATTTCCAACCAAACATACGTACCATACCAAATCACCCTGTTTATACGCCTCCGGCATTTTGAAACGGCAACTTCACTCGGCTGCGAACTGACTGGTGTTTGTTGTAGTGTCGGGTCGGAAGCGAAATGGCGTCCTCGTCCCTCGCTCGGCTCCGTCCGCTTGCGGCCGAAGAGGCGTTACTGGCTTCGCGCAAGGCAGCGCCGTCTCTGGAATTTCAAATTTCGCTCACGTCGTCGTCGACTAGAACTGTGCAAATTCGATCGAAAAGACTATTTCATGGAGGAGCGTGGGGTCCGAGTTGATTTGCGGGATGATACACACCTCCTGACGCGTTTTTAATGTTTATCCGTAGTGTGTTTTTGAACAAGGTTCACCGGTCATGACTACGTGGTTCAGGTCAGCTGTTGGATAAACTGACACAGTACTCTGCCAGAATTATTCCGGGACGGGTTTTAGCAGCATTCATTAGTTGAACCAGTTGAACTCCACCCGCACACCGAAGTAAACATGGCTTGCAACGTCAGGCTTACGTCAAAGCTCTGTAAGTCTTTCGCCGGTGAATGAGATTTCGAGTTTTCATTTCGTACTTATTCCTAACGTAACTGTACAGACTCCCTGACATAGTGTTTCTGCATTTACACATGTACACATTTTAGTCTGTGGAGACTTCGACCTTTGATCTGTTATTCAATATGTTTTAAAGCAGTTATGCATTTCTTAATCTATTTAAATTACATGGTTTTGAATCGATCATCCCTTCTATTGATTCTTTATTTCGCATTCCACGTTTCATTTTTGGTATGAATCTGGTTTGTTTGTTTCAGTAATGTTACATGATTGTTCTTCTTTTCTCTTTTCCAACTTATCTCAGAAAATCTTTTCTCAGTTGATTATGCAAGATGTACTGTAGGATTGGCAAGGGCACATCGTTGTAAATTACAGTCGAATACCAATGTCCTTTGAAATACTGTACATGTCAAACACCATTGCTGTGCACAACTTCATATTGTTTTCTTTGCTTGTTACAGTTCAGAGAGTAGTCTCTGTTTCACAAAGGCAGTACTCATCCCAAGTTTTTCCTAAAATTACTACTCATTATTCTATTCATCCTCGGGAATCTGACCCAAGATGGAAAGGTGAGTCTACCCTGCATTTTTTATCTTTGGAGCACTTAGCACAATGCGCCCGTCCAATGTACCTACTCTCCTTGTACAGATGTCGATATGGAGCGAGCTGTCGACGAAACAGATGTGGTCATTGTCGGAGGTGGCCCGGCTGGACTGTCAGCTGCGATCCGCCTTCGTCAGCTGGCTGAGAAGGAAGGCAAAGAGTTGCGAGTAGTTGTTGTTGAAAAAGCATCAGAAATTGGTTTGTTGTTTGGCTTTCTAATGTGCTATTGAAGTGGATAGCCCTCTACACTTGTGTTTGATGCTTTGTTGTTTGTTTTCAGGGGGCCACATTTTATCTGGCGCGTGCATTGACCCAAAAGCTTTGAATGAGTTGATTCCTGACTGGAAGGAAAAAGGAGCCCCTCTGAATACGCCTGTCAACAAAGACCGTTTTGTATTCCTCACTGAGAAGGGAAGCATACCTCTCCCTGTTTTCCCCGGTATGTGCGAGTGATTACAAATTTATTTGTTACTGCTTTTCTGACTCTCACTCTAATACATAATAAATGGTTAACCCACTAGGCATGCCAATGTACAACCATGGAAACTATGTTGTTCGCCTTGGTCATGTTGTTCAATGGCTGGGCGAGCAGGCTGAAGCAGCAGGCGTTGAAGTATTTTCTGGTATTTCTGCATCTGAAGTACTGTACAATGAGGACGGCAGTGTCAAGGGAATTGCAACTGGAGATGTTGGAGTTGCGAAGGATGGCTCTCCAAAGGTAAGAAAAAAGATGAAATCATGTTCACATGAATTATATTTGACATTTGCTTTAAAGACAAGAGCATGAACTGTCATTGAAGGGAGTGACGCTATCCACATCATTTGGATCAGTTGTAACATTCACATATTATTTTTGTGGAACATTTACATTTTTTGTAACTCAGTAGGTGGCACTTTGTGCAGCAAAAATCTTGTCCTATAGCCTCCAGTTTGCATGGTAGGAAGAATATGGTCATGTTTTGTTTGGTATCAACTGAAACACACAGAAAAGAAAGCTATTGATTGGAGAAAAATTTATGACAGATAAGTGTTTTATCCATTCTCTCACCATTTTTGAAAAAGTAGTCCATAAAGGCATGAGCCTGAACCATGCCACTTCCATCAAAGGTTATTGCCAAGCAAATTATTATCATCATCATTGCATTCATGACTTGCTGAGCTGAAACCAAAAATTATTTTTGGCATCAGTTTTGTTAGTTGATAGGGAAAAGTAAAGGAGAGTTACATACCTTAGATTTTTCTTGTACTGGTCTGGTGTCTGGCACTTGTCTGACTGGACTGTCTGCTCCCATGTGAACTGCCTCCTTTAAAAATGTTTCTCTCAACCTTCAACTTTTATCAGTCCTACTTTATGACTTTCCAAGTGCATTTGCTCTGTTTCTGTTCATGCTGAAAAGTGACCTCTAGTTTTCTAAAGTTAAATTATTGCTCGAGATAGTGCTTTGCAGTCAGTAAAAAGCCTTCAAGTTTTAAAACCTCTTAAGAGACTCTCCAGCACAAATTTAGAAAATGGTTTTTAAGAAATCTCCTGTAATACTTTGATGAGATGATTTTTAGTGTTTCTTTTCCTTTATCAGGATCAATTTGAAAGGGGAATGGAATTGCATGCAAAGTGCACCATCTTTGCTGAGGGGTGTCATGGTCACCTGACAAAACAATTAAGCAAGAAGTTCAATCTGCGAGCTGAAAGTGAGCCACAGACATATGGTATTGGTCTCAAAGAAGTTTGGGAAATTCCAGCAGAAAGACACCAACCTGGGCTAGTTGAGCACACAATTGGTTGGCCTTTGGTAAGTAGCTGTATTTTGATTGAGGTTTTCAATTTGAGGGAACATGACACATCTGGGAAGCTCTATCATAGGTACCGGTATTCCAAATTTTCAGGACAAATTCACTTATGGAGGTTCTTTCCTATACCACTTGAATGAACCTACCCCAACTGTGGCAATAGGATTTGTCATTGGTCTAGACTACCAGAACCCGTATTTAAGTCCGTTCCGAGAATTCCAGAGGTTCAAGCACCACCCGTCTATTGCCAAGCACCTTGAAGGTGGCAAGAGGTAAACAATTTAGCTGAACGGTTGGTGTTGGTTCTTTGGAAGAAATGAAAGACTGATCCAAAGATGCCCTTTTCTGTCCCAGAATTGCCTATGGTGCCAGAGCACTGAACGAGGGCGGATACCAGAGCATTCCAAAGCTGGCCTTCCCGGGTGGATGCTTGATTGGCTGCACAGCTGGCTTCTTGAATGTCCCCAAGATTAAAGGAGTGCACTATGCCATGAAGAGTGCCATGCTTGCCGCTGAGGGTATCTTTGCAACAATTCAATCGTCAGAGGGAGAGTCTTGTAAGTATTGCATTCATTAAAAAGATTGTTTTTAGACTGATTTTTTTTTTAAATCTGTTACAAACATTTTTTTTTTTTCCACACTAACATTGTACTCTATTTCAGGTGTCTATCCCAAGTCCTATGAGGATAAAGTGAAAAGTAGCTGGGTGTACTCAGAACTCAAAGGAGTACGGAACATCAGACCTGCATTCCATAATCCTTTGGGCTTGTATGGTGGAGTTGCTTATGGTGCATTTGCCACCCTCACTCGAGGCTTTGAGCCTTGGACTTTCAAACATGGAGGTACGTATATATTTTTCTGATTTCTGCCTGTGCCTATGTAAATTTAATGTGGAAAGAAAGTGCCGTAGCTGTTTGGTCCCAACCAACTCTGAATTTTCTAGATCCTGACTACAAACGGCTGAAGCCTGCCTCAGAGTGCAAGCCAATTGAGTACCCCAAACCTGATGGCGTTCTCAGCTTTGACTTGTTGTCATCTGTCGCTCTCACTGGCACCAATCACGAGGGCGACCAACCACCCCACCTGACTCTCAAGGATGACACTGTTCCGGTTACAAACAACCTTGGTGTGTTTGACGGCCCCGAAGGGCGCTTCTGTCCTGCAGGTACTTTCCTGTCACAATTTTTCTTTTTTTTTTTTAAATTGCATTTGCTCTTTTTTACTGGACACAACAACTCTGTTTTACAGGTGTGTACGAGTATGTTCCCCTGGAGAGTGGAGATGGCCAGAGATTACAAATTAATGCTCAAAATTGCATTCATTGCAAAACCTGTGATATTAAGGATCCGAGTCAGAACATTAATTGGGTTACTCCAGAGGGAAGTGGTGGGCCTGCTTACAATGGAATGTAAAACATTTTGACACCAAATGTCAGGTTTCATTTTTATTTTTTTAAATTTGTGAAATAAGGTTGGCTGTGCCCTTCAATGGGAACATGTGTACAGTAGACTTTTCTGTCTTCCATATCAGTGTGAGGCTTGTTCTCATTGCCTCACGTATTTTCTGTTTGGACTCAGTGAGTGAAAAAGTTTGTATGCAGTTCACTAGTTGATTCTGTTTCACCTTGTACATGTATTCTGATCAATTTGTAACTTGTATAATATTAGTTGATGCAGATTGAACCTAAAACTAATCATCACCCTGTTATTTATGTTAATTTTATTTGTTATTCTTTTTTTATGAGATTTTTTGATTAAGTTATCTGTTTGCCAAGTCATCACAAAGCTTCTTTTATAGATACATGCTGTATTTTTGGATCATTTTTCTTGTTGTTGGGAATTCTAATGAGTGTTGCTGGTGTTTTCACTCTGCAAGTTTTAAATGTTTTTGATTCTCCTTGATTACTGAATGGTGGTGATCATGAAATTTTCTTTATCTTTGCTTGTCGTCTTGTGTACAGCTTTTATCTTTGTACCTGGATTATATGAAAGCAGTAAACATTCTAGACTGATAATTTTGTGTTTGATGAAATGCCTATCACAGAAATAAATTCTATTTTTCAAAAAATATTTACTGTGTATTTATAATTTTAAAATAGTATATCTTAATCCTACTTCCAGCCCCTCTTCAGTTTTTGGCCTGCCATTGCTTGGAGTACTCTACTCCATCGTTGTTGAATAAGAATCTTGGGCCAAGTTCCTTGTAGCGAGAGAGAACCATCCTGTTGATGAAAGCGACTCGATTATAAGTTGATTTTGAGACTGGAAGGGTACCGCACAGTGGGCCAGGCGGTCAAAATCCCGGACGCGTTTTGAGCTCCAGAGTCGCTGAATGGGACTCGAACCGGACGTGTGATCCCACCAATGGATTGCTCTCCGAACGAGGAATCTATTGGTGGGGCCACACGCTCGGTTCGAGGCCTGTTTAGCGCCTCTGGAGCTCAAAACGCGTCTAGAGTTTTGTCCGCCTCCACCGGTCTTCTGGTCCACTGTGTACCGCGGCCCTCCAACTTACAAGTCGGGCACGGAGATGGCGTAGTTGGTGATGGCGTAGAGCGCGTCGTACTGCAGCACGCTGCTGCCCGCCGCGGCGGGGTGCACGTTGGCCGCGTTGTACCGCGAGATCCTGGGCGGCAGCAGGTCCTGGGCCACGGTGGCGGTGCCCGTCCAGGTCGCCTTGTCGGCGCCCACCTCGGTGCTGGCCGTGAAGGTGGCGGGGTCGTCGTCCACGGACACGGTGCGCAGCACGTTGAAGGGCGCCCAGTACAGGCGGAGGGTGCTCGACGACCTGCACGCCCAAAGCCGCGAGTCACAGTGGGCCAGAGGACCGGTGGAGGCGGACAAAACTCTAGACGCGTTATGAGCTCCAGAGTCGCTAAATGGGACTCGAACCGAACGTGTGACCCCACCAATGGATTGCTCGCTCTCCGAACGAGCAATCCATTGGTGGGGTCACACGTTCGGTTCGAGTCCCATTCAGCGATTCTGATTCTGGAGCTCAAAACACGTCTAGAGTTTTGGCCGCCTCCTTCGGTCTTCTGGCCCACTGTGCGACAGACCGGCGGAAACGACTATCGGAGTTTGCTGAAAATGCTTCACTGTCGGGGTACTCACGGAGTGAACTCCACTTCAGTGATCCTGTGGTCGGCGTTTGCGAGGAAAAGGTGCACGCCTGAAATTTTCGCAACGGAAAAAGGTGTAAATTTAAGTTACTCTCGACAGGGACTTCCCCCGTCGCCAAAGGCCGTCCTGGAGCAATAACTCACTCGCAGGACAGACCGCGCTGTGGCTAATCAGGCCACAGCGCTGTAAAATAACACTGGGAACACACGTACGGTTGTCCGCCGAGTCGCTCTGGACGTAGGGCGCGGTGAACTGGATTTTCAAGACATTGTTGTCGGTGTTGACGACCATCTGCATGGCCGGCCCCTTCAGCTTGTCGCCATTCAGATTGAGATCCGGGATTACGGTCAAAACAGCTCTGCGAAACAAAAGAGATGGCATGTAATCGGACTGGGCAAACAAACAACCCACCGCAAGCATCCGGAAAAAAAAGTTGACGCAGTCGGTAGGACTCGAACCTACGCTCCCAGAGGGAAACTGATTTCTAGTCAGTCGCCTTAACCACTCGGCCACGACTGCGGCCTGTAGGGCGGGGCACCGCCGCCCGTAGTAGCAAAGCGTCAGAGCCGCCAGCAGTGGGGGAAGTGCCTGCGCATGCGCACCAGCCGAGCGCGAAGCGAAGCGCATCCGAGGCGACTGTCGAGATCTCGAACGCAGCCGCCTCGAGTGGCGGGAAGCGCGAACGTCACCGGCAGCTTGGCATTCCAAGTGGCTCTCGGATAGCGGCATAACGCCGCACAGTGGGCCAGAAGACCGAAGGAGGCGGCCAAAACTCTAGACGCGTTTTGAGCTCCAGAGTCGCTAAATGGGACCCGAACCAAGCGTGTGACCCCACCAATGGATTGCTCTCCGAACGAGGAATCCATTGGTGGGGTCACACGTTTGGTTCGAGGCCTCTTTAGCGACTCTGGAGCTCAAAACGCGTCTAGAGTTTTGTCCGCCTCCACCGGTCTTCTGGCCCACTGTGTAACGGAGCAGCGCGACACGTGAGCCAGCGAACAATTGGAAAACCGCGGCCGGTTTAATCCGTCTCGGCAATCCAACTCACCCGAACGCCGACTGCAGGGCGCAGAGACCGACGAGAGAGAGAAGAGTCCTGCGCAAAACGAATCGAATCAGCGTCGCCGTTTCAGCGGGCGAAAAGTCCCACGATGCAGCAGTGTCGAAAGGGTTGCCTACCAGGCACGTTTTCGAGAACACAGCTCAGATATTGCCTACGCGGCAGGCTGAGGCTGGCAACCCTTTCGACACCCGGGTGGTGCGTCTTTGGAATTTTTGAGGAACACTTTGGTTATCACTTCAACTACTGTCGCACTCGTAGGGCTGACCCGTTGGGGTGCGAGAGAGCGACGCACAGTGGTGCAGAAGACCGATGGAGGCGGCCAAAACTCTAGACGCGTTTTGAGCTCAAGAGTCGCTAAACGGGACTTGAACCGAACGTGTGACCCCACCAATGGATTCCTCGTTCGGAGAGCAATCCATTGGTGGTGTCACACGTTTCGGTTCACACCCACTGTGCGACGGACGGCTGGTGACAGTAACAGTGTGACGCCCTCTTGCTTACCACATGGTGTAGCGGTGCGTCGTGGGCGTGGCTGAAGACGACCGCTGACTGCCTCGCTCCTCTCGCTGGTCGCGGGCGGACGCTGCGACGCGGTGCTGCGCTGTGCCCGTTGGGTGCCGACTGGTGGTCTGATTGTCCGATCCGATCCGTCCGATGGCGCAGGACTGCCGCCAGGCCGCCACCAGCCTTGACGGGGGCGTCGCCTGCCTACTGCCTTCGCCGCACAGTGGGCCAGAAGACCGGCGGAGCGGCCAAAATCCCGGACACGTTTTGAGCTCCAGAGTCGCTAAACAGGACTCGAACCGAACGTGTGACCCCACCAATGGATTCCTCGTCCGGAGAGCAATCCATTGGTGGGGTCACACGTTCGGTTCGAGACCCTTTTAGCGACTCTGCAGCTCAAAACGCGTCTAGAGTTTTGGCCACTCCACCGGTCTTCTGGCCCACTGTGCGCCGCCTTCGCGCGAACACGCCAATCCATCGAGTTTTGTTTACTGCCGTACGTCCCCACTCCACCATTTTTTTTGGCCGGCCCTTACGTTTGACGTACGCAAAAAGGCAGGCGCGGCCCGCCAGCCGATGAGCGGTGTCTCCGTCTCTCTCGCACCCTGGCGGTGAGCCCCGTCAGCCCCGTGAGTGCGACAGAGACAGAGCGACGAGTCGCTCGGACGCACGGAGTGGGAGGGAGAAAGACGGCGAGTTGACGTCGTCGCCGCTCCGCGTTATCTCGCTATCGGTCTTGACTTGGAAAGCAGAGAAGCAGCGAAGCGGGGCAATCGCTACGGCCACTCCATCGAGTCCGACCGACCGCCGCACAGTGGACCAGAAGACCGGTGGAGGCGCTCGAAACTCCGGACGCGTAATGAGCTCCAAAGTCGCCAAATGAGACTCGAACCGAACGTGTGACCCCACCGATGGGTTCCTCTCCGAACGAGGAATCCATTGGTGGGGTCACACGCTCAGTTCGAGTCCTTTTCAGCGACTCTAGAGCTCAAAACGCGTCCTGGCTGGCCGCCCCCACCGGTCTTCTGGTCCACTGTGCGCTGTCTTGGGCGACGGCGGCTGCGGTTTGGCCCGTCGCTCCGCCGGTTGACGAGGCACACAGTGTGCCACACACGCCCCTCCGCTCTGCCTGTGTTGATCCGAGGTGCTTAGCGAGGGCTGCGGTCACCAGCACCACGTCGACCCGCCGAGCAATCACCACCGACCGCAATGACCACGGCCACAATCACCCGGGTCCACCCAGGCTCCTGTCCACGGGTCCATGGGAGGGCCATGGGCCGGGGGCCACGGAGGACGCATGCGCGCCGGGCCTGGCTCCACCTCCGGCCGCCCCCTCCCCCGCCCCTCCGCCTCCCCTCCGCCCCCGCTGGGGCGCAAGGCGGCGCGCCCCCTCCCGGCGCCCCGCCACGGCCGCCGCACTGTCCGCCCAGACACGGTGGCGGCAAGTTGTCACGGCGGAGCCCCGTCGCGTTCCGGACAGGATTCGGCGTGCGTCGCGTGTGCCGAGTCGTCACTTGGGTGTCCGTCACCCCGCTACACTGTCAGTGACACCGTCAGTGACGCTGTCAGTGCGCGTCGACAGTGTGGGAGCACTGTTCGGGTGAGAGTGGTCAGTGACAGTGCGACTAGTGGACCCACCTCGCGACATTCGACGCGCCGGGGAGCGGCTGCCACCGCGTCGGCAGGAGGCGGCGGTTGGAGGTGAGAAGCCACGCCACTGTGAGTGTGTGTGTGTGTGTCGTGTGTAAGCGCAGCCACTGCGAGTTTAGGTTAGCCGAACCCTTCACCGCGAGTCCGTCTTAAGGCGGCTGCAGGGGTGGGTCGCGGAGTCGCGGACCGCCGTGACCAATGGGGTGCGAGCGGCCCGCGGTATCGGCCGCAAGTCTGCTCTGATTGGTGCGTCGGCTTGCGGCCTGCCTCGGCCTGCGGTCGCTCGGGGTTCACTCATTCTGGAAACGCGCTCCAAGCCGACACGATTCGACCAAACCGAGTCGTCCCCATTGCTTTCGACTGTGGAACTTAGGGAGAAAATTGCAGCCGCCCGGCGGGGATTCGAACCCGCAACCCCAGCATGCCAGCGTGTCGCGCCCCGGCTGGGCGGCTGGGCTCGGCCTTGGGAGGGCGGCTGCTACACTGGAACCGCCTCAGTCTGGCTCCTGCACTGCGAGGCGCCAGCCAGATTGCGGCGGTTCGGCTCAAATGTTGGCAACAGTGCGGAGGGCTGGAAATCGCCGGGATGTTCCGTGCGGGGAAACCTCGAGGGAAAGCGGCTCGGGAAAGCAAGCTGTGCCTTCTGTTTCTTCCTGGTCCGTGGGCGCGGTGGGGGGCGCGGCCACGGCGGCCGCGGGGGCAGAGATAGGCCGCGGGCACCGTTTCGGGGAATCGGGAATCCACTGACTGATAGCCGAGGGCGAGACGAGGGCGCGGTCGGTGGCACGGCGGCACGGCGGCACGGCGCTCCAGCCTCGTCAGCCCCACGCCGTGCTTGGGGGGGCCGGGCGCGCCGAGAGGGTCCCGAGCGCCGCCGCGCCGCTAGTTTAGCTCTCCACGGCAGTCTTGTTGCCGCCGGGGTGCTGCCACTGGGCAAGACCCGGGCTAGGCCCTCGAGAAGTTGCTTCGTACGCGCTGAGGTTGGCCACCCTCTGACGCACAGTGGGCCAAGATAGGTAGAGGCGGCCAAAACTCTAGACGCGCGTTTTGAGCTCCAGAGTCGCTAAATGGGACTAGAACCGAACGTGTGACCGCACCAATGGATTCCTCGTTCGAAGAGTAATCCATTGGTGGGGTCACACGTTCGGTTCGAGGCCTATTTTCGCCTGCTTGTGTGGCATCACTGCCGCGCTTGGCAGCTTCGCCCATAGCTTCACGTAGCCTCGCTCCGAGGTCACAGGCAAGCGAGAAAGTTGGCCAAAGTTTGTGTTTGTTGTGTTGTTTTTTTTCCTGCGCGCGGCTGAATGGCAGCCCCTTTAATTTTCCATGGTCCGCGTCGTCACCGAGCGATTCCGAAGCAGGATGTCTGTCTCTGTCGCACTCATGGGGCGTCCCGGAGGGCCGGAGGGGGTGCGAGAGAGACAGAGAGTGGCTGCCTGCTCGCCCCGCTTTTGGCTCGTGCCTTGAGCCAGACTTGGCCCGTTTTGAGCCTCTCCAGCGCTGGGGCCGCCGAGTCCGCCGGGTGCGAAAGTTGATAATTGGAGCATGATTAGTTTGCAAGCGTTACTGCACTCGGTTTTCTTGAGGCGTGCGGGCCGCGGCACCGCGGGCGGAGGCTTGTAGGCGAAATCAAAACGGGCACGAAATAAACCAGAGTATGAAATTAGTGGATGTTAATTGAATGAGTTGTCCTGATTCAAAGCGGGAATCGAGCAAAATTGGGTGAAGGGGATTTGAACGCCGGTTTCCTTAGTTAGCGAAGGGTGTCTCTACGACGGTCTGAGCCACAGCCCTTGCAGTGGCTACGACTATTGGAGTAGCCCTGGCAGAGACCCGCTGCGTCTAAGCAATCAAAGAATTTCCGTCCAAAAATAAAATTTCGGAATTTGCGAGGGGGAGTTGAACCCGCAACGAACGGCTGCAAGTTTCACCCCTTTGACCACGCGGCGGCCACGCCGCTCTGCTGACCGCTGCGGTGTTTCTGGTTCGTTTAAACTCGCGCCGCCCGCATAAATGCACTTGCCCGTCGCTGTCTCCGCCAATCAGCAGCGCGGTGAGCTGCACACTGCAAAAGCGGCGCAAGCGGCAAGCCTGTATCGCGGGTTCGATCCCGGGCAGTTGCGGCGATTTTTCCCCTCTTTTTCGCGGCGCCGAAGTGCGGGCCGGGGGTGTGGACAAAAGTCCATGATTGGCGGCCGGCTTGCGGTGTAGTGGTGGGAAGGGGAGGGGGCTGCCCCAGCTTGCAAGCGATTTGGATGTTGCAGTGTGGGCGTGCGGGTCTGATTACAGGACACACCAAATGGGGGCTTCAGAGGCCTCCGGGGCACCGCCTGGCAACGCGTGCACTGCGCCGAGTTTTGGCGGCACGGACTGGCGCCCTCTCACTGTGTGTGTGTGTGTGTGTGTGTGAGAGAGAGAGAGAGAGAGAGAGAGAGAGAGAGAGAGAGAGAGAGAGAGAGAGAGAGAGAGAGAGAGAGAGAGAGAGAAGGAGGGAGTATGCATGTGCCCCGAGGGGACACGGGGTTACACGTGTCAGAGGCAATGAGGTCGAAAATTGACCGTAATGAACCTCTCCCTGCGCTAAAATGAGTAAATGGAATGCATTCGAAAACCGCGCTGAATACACACTAAATGTGATGTACCACTTTGTACGAGACATCACAGTTTTTTTTTGTGCACACGACCTTTTGAACAATTTCAAACAACTTTTCTAAATTGCGTAGAAAGTTGTACGAAAAGTTCGTGTGCACAAAAAAGAAACTGTGATGTCTCGTACAAAATTTGTACAAAAAATTTGTACAAAAAATTTGTTATTGTGTATGGCGGATGTCTGCAGAGTGGGTCGCCCTTTTTGCAAGAGTTAAAAAAATATTTTAAAATCAGATGGTGCTGTGGGTATTGTACCCGCGTCTTCCTACGCGGAGACGCGTCACTCAATTACGGGACTAACCCAAACATTTCCAAAATCGATTCAGTTCGGTCCCATTTTTGTGAGTGTGGTGGCACTCCAGTGCCCGTGCCGGGTTGTAGCCAGGCGAGCCAGGCCCACGGCTGCACTGACGAGATCCAATCACTCATAGCGTGTGATTAATTGCAATCGTATGGAGTAGGTTCACACAGGGCGTAAAGGCTATTGTTGTATGAGGGCGCCTGACACTTGCCTCCCCGCCCCGCCCCGCCCCGCCCCCGCCAACGCGCTATGCGCCCCCGCCACCCCCACAGTACAAACACGCCTGTCTCCAGGACTCGCTTGCTGGAGGAAGAGCTATGCTGGGGCTGCCAGTGTGGTGTATGTTGTACGTGGTGCGAGCGCGCCTCCGTGTGTGTGTTGTGTGTGTGTGTGTGTGTGTGTGTGTGTGTGTATAGACTCGAACTTGTGTATGTGTGAGAGGCCGAGACAAGTAGCACACATTCATGATTTGGATCGATCAGTGCCAGCGTTGCATTTCATTAGACGGCATGCGGTTTTCATTGATTCGTTCACTCGATCATTCATTCATTTGCCAATTCGTTCATTCATCGATTCATTCATTGGTTCATTCATTC